AACAAAGCTGCCCTTCAAATAAACATGGTTGTAAATTAATCAATAGTTTAACAAAAGAAGTATTGAAACTAGAGATGTGCCGATCAGGTTTTTTCCTGCCGATACCGATACCGATCACCCATGAGGGCCGATCACCGATACCGATCACATAATTATTATTTATTTATTTTTTATCATAAACCCTACCGGTTACATTATGTGGAAAAAGGAACCATGAATTCACCTTAATTTAGACAAAAACTTTTTAATAACTTTTTTCAAGAAGAAAACTAAACAAAACAGGCATTGCACAAATTGTACTGCTATTGATAATACTATCTTTAACAGACTGAAAACATATGAAGGCTCTGAAGAGGCTAAATAATACAAAGAGCCAAAATAAAACCTCTCAACATTGCCAAGAAGTTCAAGTATAAAACTTAACATTCAAAGGCAAAAACAGGTTCCATTACAATAAACAATCCAGAGTTACTGAATGAAAACTTCCTGATAGCATGGCGGCTAGCTGATTACTGCTAACTCTGATTGGCTGTTTCTGACTGAGCGGAGTAATTATGCAGAACAGGGAGGAGATCGATTATTTTTTTTTTAGAGATTATCTGTCTCATGTTAGGACAGCGAAAGTTTTAATATGTATGTAAAATTTTTTTTTTTTTTAGGTTAGATGCTGCAGCTTTAAGCAGAGATTCGGTGTGAGAGTCACTACCAGGTGGAGCAGAAGCTCCGTCTGTGAAATATTACTACCTGTAGCAGCGGTTCAACAGCGAGAGCAGAACCAGCGTCTTACATCGCAGCTCGAAGACTTAAATAATTTTGCGGGTTATTTGTTTAGCTTTCTGACCGTCATGCTAATCCAGATGAGTGTTTATAGCTGTGCGTTGCTTTACCTGCTATCTGATCCTCCATATGTCTTTTTTTACTGCAGTGAGCCTCGATGTAGCCAAACTCCGTCAAGTATGGCTTTGTTTTTATGCAATATTAGATTCGTTGTGTTGATGCATTTTGACCTGCTTCACCCCACGTGCTTTAATTTTCCGCCGCAACACGCAAACTTCCCCATTCACTCAGTGCGATATAGTTCCACATCGCTTAGGATTTGTTGCTGCGCGTTTGCGCAGTGTGAAGGAAAGAGGAGACCAGCTGCACAGGCAGGCTGCGAAATGAGAAGCAGGTGATCAGTTTGTGCGATCGGCAACAAGAGACCGTGATCGGCGATCACAGATCACACTTTTTCACTGAAATCGGCCGATTATGATCGGTGGCCGATTGATCAGCACACCTCTAGTTTTAATATTTTAACATATTTGAATTATTCATTTTAGCCAACTATAAAGTACACAGAATTTACTAGCAATCATTAACTTAATGAGTCAAAATTTCAAACAGACACATTACAAATGTAGCCAATGAACAAAACTTTATTTTGAGCAACACATCTTAATTCAACATTGTAACACTGAATGTATGGAAGACCAAAACTGACATAATAAAAAATAAAATATATGAAAAGAATATATACCCAACATATATAAATAACATTTATAAATAAAATGTATATATCCGACATAATCAATAAAATAAATATAAATAAAAAATATATAAATAAAAGAATAAATATATAAATGAATATTTATCTGACATAAGAAACAAAAGCATAAATATTTATATATTTTTATTTTATTTATATATTTATGCTTTTGTTTCTTATGCCAGATAAATATTCTTTTATATATTTATTTTGTTTATATATTTTTTTATGTACATTTATTTTATTTCTTATGTCAGATATATACATTTTATTTATATATTTTATTTATATATGTCGGATATATATTTATTCTTTTATTTATATATTTATTCTTTTATTTTTTATTTTGTCAGTTTTGGTGCTCCATATGAATGTGCTATGTTAACATTTGCCCATCTTTATTTTGAGCAGCACATTTAATTTCAACAGTTTAGCACTTAATTTGCTTTCTAAACATTTACCCATCTTTCTTTGTCAGAATTTTGATAAATGAACTAAAAAATACTTTGAATTTTGTCCACATCTAACATTTACAAAGAGGTAGCAGTGAAACATAACACATTTACAATAACAAAGCAAGATTAGCCATGTATTTCTATCTAAGACAGACATATCCAAAGTCCGGCCCGGGGGCCAAATGCGGCCCGTGGTCAAATTTCATCCAGCCCGCAGCCTCTGTCATAAAATCAATAACGTCTGGCCCGCACGTAGAATTAATACATTGGGCAGCAGTACTGCTACCTGCATAGAGCGTAGCTTACACACTAAATGCTGTTCCTCATTTACCCACTAGAGGGCAGCAGCCCATGTGACTCAGACCATTTGCAGGTGGAGCTCATTGAGCTGCAGTGTGACGCAGAGAGCCGCGGTCGGCACCAGCAGTTTTCTCTCGCGAACTTTTACGACAGCTGGATAAGGACATGTTTCAAGAGATTGGAGCATTTTAGTAAGAAAATGCTAAGCTTGTTTGGGTCAACGTTAGGGTTCCCACCTGTCAGAAATCAAAATAAGGGACGCATCGTCCTAGTCTCATGGAGGGAGGGGGGGACTTCGACTAGGGTTACCAGTCCCTATATATTTAAAGTTGGCCGAGGGGGGGGGAGACTGCGGCTGTTGGAGGCAATATCGCAACACCGTGAGTGAAACAATGACTAGGGCAGCCTACTATGTAAAGTACTCTGGGACCACTTCTTTGGTATTACACATACACATTTGTAGAATACGGAACAAATGTCGTCTCGTTTCGGTTCGGGACGGGTTGCAACCCTAGTCAACGTATTTGTGTGAGAAGACATTCTTGGTTGTGAACTTAAATGACGGACTCTCACTTGTCATTTACAAGTTTCTGAATAAATTTTGCTTTTGTTTTTTAAGATCAAAATAAGTCAGAAATTCAGACAAGTTTTCAGTTTTCACTCCAGAATAATAAACTTTTAAAAATCTGATCAACATTTACTAATATGTCATCTTTCAAATGAGCCCTGCACTTGTTGATATGACTATTACTTGCTCATTTTTCTGTAATTTTATTTAAAAATTCTGTAAATATCGTTAGAAAAAAGTTAGTGTTAAAAAAGTGAAGTTAAGTGAATATTCAATTGCATATGATATGCATGTTTCAAATGAACCAAAAGACATGCTTAAGATTGCTGAAATTAAAATAAAAAAGCAAATGTAAAACACAGAATGGCTTGCTGAAATTTGTTTAAATATATTGCTGTTCTATGTAAAGAACATCCACCAAGGTCGGCCCCCCTACATTTTTAACACACCGAATCTGGCCCCCTTTGCAAAAAGTTTGGACACCCAAATTATTTCTTCATGAAAGAATTCATGGAAGTTCATGGAAGCTTTTTCACTCATTTTCTCCTCATGGTGGTTTCAACAGTTTCAACAGTTTAGCACTTAATTTGCTTTCTAAACATTTGCCCATCTTTGTCAGAATTTTGATAAATGAACTGAAAAATACTTCAAATTTTGTCCACATCTAACATTTACAAACAGTAGCAATGGAGCATAACAAATGTACAATAACAAAACAAGACTAGCCATGTATTTCTATCCAAGAGCTTCATGAAAGAATTCATGGAAGTTCATGGAAACTCTTTCACTCATACTTTTTCCTCATGGTGGTTATTCTGTTTTTGACAAAGTACTTAACTGCTTTCCAGTCTCTATTACTCAGTACTTGTGGTTCTGCAGCAATGCAATTCTCACAGTCAACCTTACCAGGAACTCGATTTGTCACTATGTACTTCCTTAAATGTTTATTTACTGCAGCACATTCCTCTGGTGTCCAGTTTCTTTTCACAACTTTTTCATTACCTAAGGGCATAAAAAGAGCACTTTTTAGTGTACAACGTTAGTAGAACAAAACTGAATAGAGGACACTTCATGTACAATAATCCCAATACAATACAATTAAAATGAGATATTTTAATAACTATCTTTGTCAACAGTAAGAAGAGAATTAGTTAATGTTTGGGGTATTAATTCAGTCAGCTCAGTTGCTAAGAGGTCTTCTGTGTCAGCTGTTTTGATATTAACAAAAATGGGGAAAAGTAGGAATACAGTCATGGCCAAAAGTTTTGAGAATGATTCAAATGTTAATATTTACAAAGTCTACTGCTTCAGTTTTTATAATGGCAATTTGCATATACTCCAGAATGTTATAAAGAGTGATCAGCTTAACAGCAATTAATTGCAAAGTCAATATTTGCCTAGAAAATGAACTTTATCCCCCAAAACACATTTCAACTTCATTGCAGCCCTGCCTTAAAAGGACCAGCTAACATCGTTTCAGTGATTGCTCCATTAACACAGGTGTGGGTGTTGATGAGGACAGGGCTGGAGATCAATCTGTCATGATTAAGTAAGAATGACACCACTGGACACTTTAAAAAGAGGCTGGTGCTTGGCATCATTGTTTCTCTTCTGTGAACCATGGTTATCTCTAAAGAAACACGTGCAGTCATCATTGCACTGCACAAAAATGGCCTAACAGGGAAGATTATCACAGCTAGAAAGATTGCACCTCAGTCAACAATCTATCGCATCATCAAGAACTTCAAGGAGAGAGGTTCCATTGTTGCCAAAAAGGCTCAAGGGCGCCCAAGAAAGACCAGCAAGCGCCAGGACAGTCTCTTAAAAGTGTTTCAGCTCCGGAATCGGGCTACCAGCAGTGCAGAGCTTGCTCAGGAATGGCAGCAGGCAGGTGTGAGTGCATCTCCACGCACTGTGAGGCGGAGACTCTTGGAGCAAGGCCTGGTCTCAAGGAGGGCAGCAAAGAAGCCTCTTCTCTCCAGGAAAAACATCAGGGACAGACTGATATTCTGCAAAAGGTACAGGGAGTGGACTGCTGAGGACTGGGGTAAAGTCATTTTCTCTGATGAATCCCCTTTCCGATTGTTTGGGACATCTGGAAAACAGCTTGTTCGGAGAAGACGAGGTGAGCGCTACCACCAGTCTTGTCTCATGCCAACTGTAAAGCATCCTGAAACCTTTCATGTGTGGGGTTGCTTCTCAGCCAAGGGAGTCAGCTCTCTCACAGTCTTGCTTAAAAACACAGCCATGAATAAAGAATGGTACCAGAATGTCCTCCGAGAGCAACTCCTCCCAACCGTCCAAGAGCAGTTTGGTGATGAACAATGCCTTTTCCAGCATGACGGAGCACCTTGCCATAAAACAAAGGTGATAACTAACTGGCTCAGGGAACAAAACAGAGATTTTGGGTCCATGGCCTGGAAACTCCCCAGATCTCAATCCCATTGAAAACTTGTGGTCAATCATCAAGAGACGGGTGGACAAACAAAAACCTAGGAATTCTGACAAAACGCAAGCATTGATTCTGCAAGAATGGACTGCTATCAGTCAGGATTTGGTCCAGAAGTTGATTGAGGGAGAATTGCAGAGGTCCTGAAGAAGAGGGGTCAACACTGCAAATATTGACTTGCTGCATTAACTCATTCTAACTGTCAATAAAAGCTTGTTACTCATAATATGATTGCAATTATATTTCTGTATGTGATGAAAACATCTGACATACACATGATAACCAGAGGGCAGCAGATCATGTGAAAATATAATATTTGTGTCATTCTCAAAACTTTTGGCCATGACTGTAGGAGACAGTCACCAACGAGGTTCAACAATAATTTTGAGACCATATCAAGGTGAAGACACATCTAGTTACAGAGAAAGGTAAGGTTTTACCAAATCAAATAGAATTTACAATGAAATGAAGCTGTATAGCGTCATGTTTTTACTTATATCTCATTATGTGTATTACTCAACTGCTTAGAAGTGTGATATTTAGAACAGCCTATTCGGTTAGTAAGTTTTCATATTACAACTTACTGACCGAGTAAGGGTTGTGTGCGGATTCCATGTGTGCGTTCCTTGCTGAATGTCCTCTGCTGCATTCCAAAATGAATATCTTTCTCGGCTGCGTTCTATTTATCTTTTAGTGTGGGTCAGCCATCCACAAGTGGAGGAGCAGAGGGCACAGACAGGGAATTAGAGAGAAGAGCTGTGGGGATGGTGAAGGTGCTTCTGTTAGAAACAGAAGCTGCTCACCTCATCACCCAAAATGAAGAACTGAAGCAGAGGTGGATGACACTGGTTGGAAGTGTGAGAAGTATGACATGGACCTGCTGTGTCTGCAGCCGAACAGAAACTGTAGCTGGCAGTAGCGCAAAAACTGAGAATGGCTGTACATAGCTTTCATTTATGGACAGTTTAATTTTCAAAAGAAACATTCTGAAAGTTATGCTGTTAATGTGTCAAAAACTGTCTAAATTTCTAATTTGTAAATGTGTGCATCTGTTGTATTTTTTGATCACTAAACCTGAAAACAATTACGTTTTTGTTTTTTCTTCTTGTAAATCTGATAAACACTCAGACTCTAAATTGTAAATAACTGCTGGAAATTGAAAAGTGTTATGGAAAACTGGCAACATTATTTACTCACAGGACATTTAAAAACCCTTTGCATTTTACAATAAACAAACATATCTAGATGATATTTTGAAACTTAGGCCTAAAAGGGTTAATATATCTTGTTTAGGTCAGCTAAATTTTAGTAAACAGTAGATATGAGGAAAATATTGATACAGTAGTAATAACTGGACCAATAATTGGATAAAGTTATATACTGAAAAGGATTTCTCTAATTTCACCTCTCTTTTTAGCAGACTTTTCATTACTGCGGTCACTAGATGCGGGAGTAGAAGGGGTCACTTTGACGACTTCTGGCATCAGTTCATCTGAAATGATCGTTTTTAAGTACAGAAAAGAACAGATTTTGAAATATTTAAATTATTTAAAAGTGGCATTTAAAAAAAACAAAAAATAGAGTACTGACTCCCGTAGGTTCCCAAGCTCACCTCTCTTTTTGGTCAAGGCTTTCTGACTTCCACTGGATGTGGCAGCACAAGGTGTCTCTTCAGGAGCTCCTTTTATCTGCTCTTCTGAAATATTGATTTTAGGGAAGGAAAAAAAGAAAAAAATCAATTTAAACTTGAAATGATCTACAGCTGACATGAACTTAACATACAGTAATCTAGTATGTTTAAAACTATTGTGATCATTCCCATTGAGAAACAAATAAATTCATACCTTTTTCTTCAAAAGTCTCATCCGTGTCAAGAGGTTCTAAAATGGTAAGATACATTTGAAGAGATTTGTTTACTAGAGAAAACACTCAAGAACCAATTCCACAAAAGGTAGGAAACCATAAATACTTAAACAGCAACTTTTAAATTGTTTTACCTCAAACCAAATCAGAATAAGATAAAATTTTTATGTAAACCCTAAATTATATTATTTTCAAATAATATGCTGTTTGTTCATCTTTAACAAAACATGCCTTCTATAAATATCAATTTCTTAAATTTATCCTTAAATATCAAAGTTAGTAGCTTTCATTTCTCTTGTATGAAAGTGTGTAAATATTAGTACCGTTGACATCAAGGTGGATTTCATCCAGACTCTTCCCTTTGTACTCTCCTAGACGTCCTTGTTCCAATGCAAGAAGAACTTTGCTTACTTTTGCTAACTGTACAGTTCCTTCTGGAAGGCGATAGTGCTTTCTGTGAACTGCAATGTTATGGCCAAGAAAGTCTGCCAACTGATCGAGTTCTGTGGTCTTGAGGTTCAAAACCGTTGACAATGTAGCAATGTGCTTCCTAAGCTTTGTTGACGTGAGAGCAGTAGAGTCTTTGAGGCCACTGCATTGACTTACAAGTTGCCTGATGCAGTCTGAACCCCTGAGGTAATGGAAGGAATTCGGCAAAGCAAACAGGTACAGATTTTCTTTCAGGACTCCACATTCTTCCCGCTTTTCAGTAAGAGTATCAAGTGATTCCTTCATCTGTGGACTCAGTAGAACAGGGACCTTTCTTCCTCTCTTTCCCACTATTGTTATCCGGACAAAATAGTTGCAAAGCTTTTGTTCAAGTGCTGTGAGGGCCAGGTTAACATCCTCATGTGCAGTGGATGTGTCCTTCGACAGGTAAACTGACAAATGCATTCTGGAAACCTCCCCAGCTCGCCGTCGGTTGAAAAGGATTACTTGTGCCAGAATGACTTTGGCAAGATCCTTCCAGTTGGACTGTGAGGCATCTTTTGTCAAAGCACGTAAATACTCCTGCTGTTTCTCTGACAAATGGTTGTGAAGAATCTGGACATCGTGTGTGAAAGGCAACAGTAGAGGTGCATTCCACTTCCTCTGTTGAAGCTGGGTTAAAGCTTGGCTCGCAATGTCATAGTTCCAACTTTCTTGATAAAGTTGTGCAAACTTTTCTGCATTTTTGACACTTTGCTTATCCTGGCTCTTCAGTCCTTCACTCTTAATGAACAAGGCTAAAGAATGTATGTTGTGACCAACTTTTCTAGCGAGAGATGGTCGATGATATTTGCCACTTTCTTCACAGAATCCAGCTAGACGTCTTGCAGCTGAGACAACTTGAACATACTTCTCTGGCTTTATGAGGTCTTTAATACTCTTCACAGGAGCAATCTTTTTTGCTTCAAGTAGCAGTCTGCCAAGCTCTCTTAGCTTTTGACGGATGTACGGGTGGTGGCTGACCATCTTATTCTTGTGAAACAATCTGTAACCAAACTTTAGGATGCAATTATCTTTCTTACATGCAACTGTGATGTCATCTTGATGCATCTCACTTAGGAACCGCCAGTAAGAATCACTGAACTCTGGCGGAACTGGTTCAGCAAAGGCACACAATGCTTGAACCCTTGTTCTACCCGTTTTGGAAGATTTATCTTCAGGCTTGAATTTGCAAGTCTGAAAATGTCGCCACATTGCCTTTCTATTGAATAGTCCATAGCAGTACAAACAATGTTTAAATATGTCTCCTTCTGTTTTCTCCTTTGGTTGTTTCCATGCAATGAGCTTACCTTTGTTACTTTCCAAAACTTCAGTATTGTGCTCAAAGTTTCCTTTATTTCTTAAATAATCCAACTGGAGTCGTCTTTGTTTTGAGTTTTTTGGCAAACTATAAGCTTTTGCGACTTCTACTTTATTCATGTGTTTGCGCATCAAATGTCTTGACATTTTTTGAACAAGTACACCACAATACACACATTGGTGTTTCTTGGCATATGTTCTGGAGCCATCTTCCTTCTTCAAAACAGGAGCAACAAAAACAGATGCTTCCTCCAGTGATGCACTTTCATCTTCACATGTAGCAGCTCTGGAACCATGACTTCCAAAAATTCTTTGACTCGACTCAATCTGGCCTTGCATACTAAACTTGCTTCTGTTTTGACTGAGTAACATAATTTTATCCTTTGGACTTTTATTTATAGGTAATTCCATGCTGGCATCACTGTCACTGCTTTCTTCACTTGTTTCTGGAACATATTCTTCTTCGCCATCTTCACATGTCTCATCTAACCCTGCAAAACTCCCCTAAATAATTTGGAGAGAAAAAAAGAGGAGGAAGAAATTAGTATTACTTCCACTATTAGAAAGAAAGAAAAAAAAACAACCAGGCCTTTATTTAAAGTCAACTTTAAAAACAAGTTAAACCTCTAAAAAAGAAAAAGAACTTTGCATCTCAAAAAGTGAAACTCATATCTTATATAAAATCATTACACAGAGTGATATATTCTATGCTTTTGTTTCCCATCATATTGATGATTATGGCTTACAGATAAAGAGGTAAAGAAAACCCCAAATTCATTGTCCAACCCAGTGGTTCTTAACCTGGGTTTGATCGAACCCCAGGGTTTCGATGAGTCGGTCTCAGGGGTTCGGCGGAGCCTCTGCCCCGGAGGTAAAGACACACTTGTGTAAAGTTGTGATGATGCCCCGCTTTGCCATCACTTGCTGCAAAGGATCACATTACATTACTAGGCCAATCAGAGCTGCGGAGGAGCACTGATTGAAGGAGTTCCACTCTCAGCAGGGATTTGAACTTGTGCCATTGCTGAAGAAGGTGATTATACACAGAATTCTGGATCCAAGGACAGTAACAGAAAATTCAGTGTGAAAAATAGAAGTTTGGTAAAAGGTGCAAAAGCAACAGAAAAAACAGGGCTGTCAAGCGAAATCCATTGAAAAATAAGGTGGAGCTTGACAAAGAGTGGACGAAGGCTTAAGTCGGTGCTTCAAGAGGCACTGCACAAATAAATACTAGCCATATTCTACAAATGTCACATTCCTGATGTCTAGCCACTCCTGAACCAGAGACATCATCAGAGTTTCATCTGGGCTAAGGAGAAAAGGAACTGGATTGTTGCTCGATGGTCCAAAGTCCCGTTTTCAGCTGACAGTAAATTCTGCATTTCATTTGGAAATCAAGGTCAAAGAGTCTAGAGGAAGAATGGAGAAGCGCAGAATCTATGTTGCTTCATGTCCATTGTGACGTTTCCACAGTCAGTGATGTTTGGGGTACCATGTCATCTGCTGATTCTGGTCTGCTGGGTCTTAAGTCCATAGACAACGCAGCCATGTAGCAAATGTTTAGACCGTTTCATGCTACCCTCTGCTGACTGGTTGTGTGGAGATGCTGAGTTTATTTTTCAGCAGAACTTGGCACCTTCCCACACCGTCAAAAGTACCAGAACCTGGTTGAATAACCATGGTGTTCCTGTTATTAATTAAGCAACAAACTCCCCTGATCAGAACCCCAGACAAAAAATTTATATGCTGTTGTCAGGCGAAACATTATATAGACATCAGACCCGACAAGGCAGATGACCTAAGGGCAGCCATCACAGCAATCTGGACTTCCATTACATCCATGTACAACCACAGGCTGATGGCCTCCATGTCACTGTGCATTGATGCAGTAATTAATGCAAGAGTATGTCAACCAAGTTCTGAGTGCATAGAAATGGACATACTGTTGAGAAGCCTGACATTAGGAATTAAGACATCATTTTTTGATTGGCCAGTGTGATATTCTAATATTTTGAGACTCTGTTGGTCTTTTAATACCAGGAAGCCATAATCATCTAAATTACAAAAGAAAAAAAAGCAAAGCTTGAAATATTCTACTCAATGTGCAATAAATGTATGGTTTCACTTTTTGAAATGACTAGCAATAAATATTGAACTTTTAAGCAATATTCTTATTTTTAAAAGGTGCACATATATAAGAATGCTTGGTCCAATTTAGTATACTCTTGTTCTAAGTTTAGGTCCAAACAGATAGTAAAATGCAATATTAAGGGAAGAAAAATCTAATTTTGAAAAAAAAAAAAAAAATTATATATATGTAAATAAATAAAATGTTAGACCAGATAAAGAAAAGTGTCAACTGAACAAGATTGTGTTAAAAGAATTAGTAAAACTAGTAAAACATGATGTAGCAATGAACACTAGCAATTCATTATAAGCAATTGAATCAAGTCTACTTTTTAAAATTGCATTGAATCATGAGGCTTACAGAGAAGTAAGATGCTCTTGTAGGCCGTTGTGAATCCATTGCCAATAACACTGAAGGCTCTTCCACGCTGTCATTACTTGAATCGTAGGTAGCATCAGACAAATTTGGATTTATCTGTAAAAAGATTACAACAAGCTATAATTATTAAAATCCTGTGATTATACATGCAGCGAGATGGTTATTTTAAAAAGTTTAAATAAAGCTGCAGTATGTAACGTTTTTATTTTCACATTTGTTAAAAATGTCACTATATCCTTAAAGATGAGAGAGATAATCTGTGAAAAAAAATCAAGTCCTACTGCCTCTTCCTTGTGCCCCTAATAACATTTCTAAACATGCGCTCTCAAAACAAAACAACCAATCAGAGCCAGAGAGCGTGTCTTTGGACTGTCATCCACAGCATGCATGTGGAACTCACCTGTCCTTCACGATGAAGCCAGCATTGTGCTGTTGCAGTTGTGCTAATGATGGAGAAATAAACCAACATTACAGGGAAACATCTAATTTCTGGAGTTATACCTGGTCCAAAAACCAAGACGGGTAGACAAAAGAAGACCCATGACGAAAGTCAAACTAAAAAGAGAGAATTAGATCAAGTCCGAAATAAAACAAGGGCAAATATTGGAATAGCGCTTCATATGTGGAGGGAGACAAAGTTCTCAAAGGTTTCAAAACTGATCCAGAGTTGGCAACATATCTGCCTCACAAGTAAGTATCTCTGCTTGATTTGCTTTATTTTTTTATTTAAAAAAAATAACAGCTGAGATATAGTTACAGTATCATTGGTGATGGCACAAATCTTATATTACTCTGTAACTTGAGACAGCACTGTAAGAAAGTTGTAGTCGGATGTTGATTCATTTTAACATTACCTGCTAATTCAACCTTAGTATAAACATTGGTTTTGTACCTACCATTTTTGTCCCAACATACTTTTTGGATCAGAATTAAATGCATTTAGATTTGGTAAATTTATTTTCTTGTGGACTGTGCTTGTCAATTAAACAGTAAATAAAATATTATGATAATGTTTACAACATTTGCACTTGAATTAGCTGTTTCTATTCCTGGGTATCTTAAAGTTTTGTGTTTCACATAATAGCTTACAGATTTTGTAATATATTGTTCCCATTTTATAACACTTAAGCATTGAAAAATGTTGGCCACATCTTCTACAGAATATGTTTGGTAGCAGATTAATTTCCGTGAGTAAATAATGAAAATGCAGTAGCAATATGTAACATCAATGTGTAGCTTTGGTTTCTTATGTAATGTGAAATGGCAAAATAATTTAGTGGGAATCATTATGCTTTTCTGGCGCTACACTAGGCAATGAATGGTTTTTAACATTGTGTCTGAATATTCAACAATCCAATGGGCATTTATTAAGGTTATCAAATAAGACAAAAGTAAAACATTTTATTTATTTTTAAAAATTTTAAAAGTTACAATTGTTATGTTAATTTTCTAATTAAGGGCATGTTGATGGGCTTTCTTCAACTGGACCTGGATGCCTATAGCATGGTCCCTGGGATGAGCTTATAGAGGTTTATGTTGACTCCCTCGACTAATAGCCATGAGACCACATGAGCCGCGTCAGCATGGTGAACTGCCCACTGTGCCAGCTCCCACCACACAGGAGCTACTGGAGACAAGTCAGCAGAGGTCCAGGTAAGTAGTTAATGTTTGTATCAAACCATTACTGCTACTTGTTATCTTCCCAATAAAAACTGGAAATTATAATTAAAAAAGGTAGGCCTCATTTGGGCAAGGCAGAATTTTATTTTTGATTATGCATATTTTTTAACATCCATGTTCCTTCACAGGACATTAATTTATGAATCAATGTCTGGCACATATAATTATTTATGCTCTTTCAACAGATCAGACATTGCAGCAGATACAAAAGGAATCATCTGTTGTCACCATGACTCAAAATGTTCACATATTTGCATTTGCGGGAGTAGGCAACAAAAGTTTATTTATTTTACACATCTGGAAAATAAAACATTTTAAAGATGTTAATCCATTGTTCAGTGAGATTCTTTGACCTTGTATGACTAATACAGACCCAGAAAATGTTATCAAGTTAATATTTATTATTCCAACAGACAGCTCAGTACGGTGTGTGGTAAAGTGGTCCTTTGGCTCTCAAAACATGAGCAGTTGGGTAAAAAAGAAAAAAAAAATCTTTTTTGAACAATTTACTAAGAATTATTCACAACAAATGTATTTTAAATTATCTGAATAAGCAACATATTTATATGCAATTAGAAAGCAGAAAAAATTTTTAAAACACACAACACAGCAGCCATTTTTTGCTTAGAATAAATCTCTTGTATTGTCCATAAGGATCTGGAAATCTGTTCTGGATTGTCTAAACACATCAGCTTAGGATGACTGCTCTGTGACCGGAACCCAAAGTCCCACACTGCCAACACACAAACTGTCTGTATGCAACCTGCTAACTTGACCTTCAGCTGGAAATTTAACTATAGCATGCAGGTCGGTCCAAATGCTACCAGGCAGACACAGGAGTGTGAAGGGAGGCTTTGGTGATGCAGCGGAGAGTAAGGGGGCAGGGCTTGTCGGAGCTTGTTCGAATTTTCATAAGGAAGTCCATGGTTTTGAAGAAGTTACATACTGCATCTTTAATTTCTTATGATTCTTTAAAGAATATTTTTAAAAAATAATTGTATTTCTTCAACATTATTACTTTTCTTTTTATATCTTTGTGTAGAGATGCAGAGAAGTCTTTTCCAGAATCACTGTCAGTATCATTACTCTCTGTGGAGTCCACTAGATAAACTCCTTGAACAACTGAAAGCTATGTGGGGGGGGATGAAAAGATATGCAAAGTTACAGTTAATGTAGGCTAACCTATTATATTGCATAAGTGTAATGGTGCAGCAAACATGATCCAAAATATGGCAACACCTTGGGTAAATGAAGGAGGCCCACACAAAAACACATTGTATAAAGCCAAGAAAAAGGCTCCAAAGTTTACTTCTTACCAAAAAGGAAAATTGTTTGATTGATCTTAAAGGTGTGCAACTTCAGAATCAGCAGAAAGGGTGAACACCAAAAATGGATGTGGAATTCCTTTCTTAAAAATTAGGTTAAAAGAATGAATACAAAAAAATATATAAAATATATAAAAATCCTGACTAACTTCCCAGTTCTGTAAAACAGAAGGTTTTACAAACAAATGCACATGTATGTAAACTAAAAACAAGAACAGGTTCCACATGAAGCATGTTTCAGAAATCCATCTCTAGGTGTGTGTGTGTGTGTGGCTTGGTTGGACCCCACATGGCAGCATGTTTCAGACATCCATCTCTAGGTGTGTGTACCAGTTTTTTGTTTCTACTGCCTAACGAGAACCATTAACATGTGATCAGATGATTGGTTGAATGATGTCAAAGTTACCTTCTGATTATTTAACAGCTTCCAAAATTAAAGTAAAGCAAGAACTCAAGTATGTAAACATTGAGAACGAGAACAGGTCTACACAGTGTAATTCTCAACAAAACTAACTGAAAGTTACCTGTTGGCTGTTGTCTTGTTCGTTAGTGTCATCACTGGGAGAGTCACAGAAGGTTTTGTGTAGTTGATCTGCAGGAGCAGGAGCCTGACAGCCAGTTACCTGGAACTAAAGCCAGAAATAACTTATCAACATCTCATAGAAAAGTTAAATGACAGACTCAAAACCTGTAAATGTAATTCAAATAGAAAAAATTAAGGCTTTTAATATCTTAACTTTCCAACGTGCATACTTGATCTCATCGACTTACTTTTTCACGCCATGGCCATTTTGAGTCCCCGTAGTTGTAATCAATTTCAGTTCCTATTTCTATTTTCTTGATGGCAAAGAGGCACAAATGGGGCTTATTATTTACAATAATTTTTTCCATGGTGCAGTTTGGAGACTTGTGGTTGTCATTCACTAATCTTCCTAGAGAGCCATCCTCTTTTGATGCATCAATACTAGGAAAGAAATCAACAAAATCAAACATTTTGTGTATCATATGCAGTCTTTGTGTAAAATAAAAGTTAGCTTAGAAACACTAATTTCATTAACATTTCAAACATCAAAGTTGTGATAAATTTTGAGGTAATGTCTTTAGCAGTCATACCAAACAAGTTTTTGATGTCAATTCTGGTGTGACAATAAAATATTGCTTCAAATTGAATCTCTCTGATCTTGAATTCCACTCTCTTTAGAGTTCAAAATTCCTTTATGGAAGATATTTGCTCTTACATACCACCAATGTCGATTCTGCCATTCAAACTCAAAAAGAAATGTACTCTCCTTTCCAGAGTACTTTCTTGTTTGACATTCATCTGCTGGTAGAAGACGTCCCCTGTATTCTATGACAAAATCTCCCTGTTCAATGGGCTGGGTAGCAAATATGCCTCTTCCTGCAAGGCATTTCATATGAACACATTGGTTAGGAATAATTAAATTATTTCTTCATTTTTAGATAAACCATTAACCAAATAATTGTGGTCTTAAGATGTTAATACTAAATTATTGCTTAGAAATCTTAACAATAATCATTATGAATTTGTTTTCAGTATGTCATTTTATAAAACAAATCAATATTTAGGGTAAGTGATTCAAAATGAGTTTATTACCTTTGTTGTCATCAATAAATCTTTCCATTAATCCTGGTTTGTCCTTTGAAGATTGAATGTAAAAGGTTGCTTCATCAACTGGCTTTTTTCTTACCTTCCTTTTGGACATTTTAGCCCTAAAAAATAATTTAAAAAAATATGGCACAGACAACTTTGATAAGAAGAGAACTAGATGTACTCACAATCCTCTAATCTCAGCCCTTCCTTGAGACAATTGGTATTATGAGCTGGTCCCATCTAAATAAACTGAATTCTTACGAAACCCAAACTTGACAAAGGTTTGCGCCCAACAAACATACCATCGAGTGGAGTGGGCGACCTCTCCTCGCCACGTTAGCTACTATAGGATAGTTAAGAGAGGTCCATGAAGCGCCTACTTTTATGTCCATGTCAACAGCTTAAGTACAATTAGGCTACTATCAAGAGTCTAAGTAAAGTTGTTTCAATAGCTTAACCAACATAATTCAGAATTTTGAGGCGTACCAGCTCATTTTTATTATCCGTCTGTATCAAAGTGTTATTTTTACGTAGCCTTGTGGATAGTGAATTGGTGCTAATTTTGACAGTTATTCGCGCCAAAATGATTGAATTATTTAAATGCACATTCTTTCACATGAAAAAAATAATATCGAGACAGAGATACACTGAAATCATACCGCGGTAAAGCTAACCGGCTCTGACTCCAGCCGGCCCAGCACACAATATACAAGTGCGCGGTAGCTCAAGACATTATGGTACACCCATTTACGTGCTGCTTTCACAATAAAAGCGCACATCCGGTCCATGTTTAAGCTACTCAAAACCAGCCGCAGCATTTGCAAAGAAACTCTCTGTTTCCAAAGACTCCTACCACTTCTGGATGACAGAGGGAGACCTCTAGAACAGAACCAGAAAGTGGCAACTAGATCTGATGTGTAATTTCAAAATAAAAGCCTACCAAAAAAATCATTTTTTATCTTTTCCCCCTAAGTTGCCGTGCACATTGCTGAGAAACTCTCTGTTTCCAAAGACTGCTACCACTTCCGGATGAAAGAGGGGCACCTCTAGAACAGAACTAGAAAGTGGCAACCAGATCTGATGTGGAATTTAAAAATAAAAGCCTATCAAAAAAGTCATTTTTTATCTTTTCCCCCTAAGTTGCCGTGCCCATTGCTGAGAAACTCTCTGTTTCCAAAGACTGCTACCACTTCTGGGTGACAGAGGGACACCTCTAGAACAGAGCCAGAAAGTTGCAACCAGATCTGATGTGTAATTTCAAAATAAAAGACCATTAAAGTAGTAGTTTAGATCTATTCCACCTAAGTTGCCGTGCCCATTGCTGAGAAACTCTCTGTTTCCAAAGACTGCTACCACTTCTGGATGACAGAGGGACACCTCTAGAACAGAGCCAGAAAGTTGCAACCAGATCTGATGTGTAATTTCAAAATAAAAGACCATTAAAGTAGTAGTTTAGATCTATTCCACCTAAGTTGCCGTGCCCATTGCTGAGAAACTCTCTGTTTCCAAAGACTGCTACCACTTCTGGATGACAGAGGGACACCTCTAGAACAGAGCCAGAAAGTTGCAACCAGATCTGATGTGTAATTTCAAAATAAAAGACCATTAAAGTAGTAGTTTAGATCTATTCCACCTAAGTTGCCGTGCCCATTGCTGAGAAACTCTCTGTTTCCAAAGACTGCTACCACTTCTGGATGACAGAG